TCAAAAATTTCTAGGATATTTGAAATATTCTGAAATATTATAAAACATCTTGAAACTTCATAGAATCTTGTAAAATATTTCAGAATATTATGAAACTTTCTGAACTATTATTAATTATTAATTATTAATTATTATGTTTATTATATTTATATTTATTTAGGAAACAAAACATTATTATTAAGTATGTATAACATTTATTATATTATTATTTTTCTTTTATTTTATATTTATAGTACATAAAATCTTCCAGAAGAACCAATAAGGACTTATATATTAATAATATATATTTCAATTTATATATTTTTATAAATTATTTATATAATGAAGAATAGTTATTTAAAGAAAACCTTTTTATATTTGTAACAACTCAGATTGTATTTTTGTTTTTGAGTTAATAAAATAATTATCTTTCTTAAAACTTGTGATTTTATTTTTGATTTGAATATAACTCATTGTTTAAACTGTTATAATATATTTAAATCCTTACAATACCTATAAATTATTATCATAATTTGATTAAATCTATGCCACATTAGGTTCAAGCTATTCTTGTAACAAAGGTTGTCAAACAAAATATTAATCTATATTTTAATAAAAAAAAAAAGTTTATTTTATATAACATATTATAAAAGTGTTTAATGCTTTTTATATCTCCCTATAGGTCTTGTTAGATATTGAAAGTATAATAAGAAGTTTTATTTTAAATTAAGAAGAGATTTCAAATAGTTCAAATAAGAGATTTAGGAAAAAGTTATTAAACTATTTTTTAAGTTTGTTTTTGAAAAAAATATATTTGATAATAAAGATTGGTTTTTTAATAAAATAATTAATTAAGTAGATAATAAGACTAACTAATTTACAGTAGAGAATATTTGATTATAATACAGATTTTTTTTTTAATTTTAATGTTAATGAAATTTAAGTTGGTTTTATTTTTGTATTTATATTGAAAGTTCTTTTTAATTTCAATGAATTTTTTTTAAAAATAAAACTTTAACTCAAAATTTTTTTGTCATAGTAGTTTTTTAGATATAACAATATGACCTTACGTAATATACAGTGTATATTGGCTTCGTAAGTTTTTTTTTTTAGAAAATTCCGGATTTTTCGATGACTGAAAAATTCCTTTCTGTGAAGAGATAGTAAGATAATGCAGAATAGAGATGTACGGTATATGAGTTGAAGGTGGACAGGTATTTTTCGGACATTATAATTGTGCTCCTTAAATTACATTGCATATGTATTGTTTAAAGTAGGTGCTGAAAAAAAACTCATCTATCATTTTCATCGCTTTCAAAAATAATTATCCATATACTTAATTTTGATAAGAAAATGAATACAATAGTATATGCATAAAATTATATTCAGTGCATACCAACAGTATATTCCGATGCATTTATTTAATGCTCGGCGATCGAGGATCACGGGTCTTTATCATGATTGGATGATGGTCTCAATGAAATTTCTTTTTTCAGAAAAAATCAATAACGCCATAGTTTTTAATTATCGGGTTAAATAAAAACCCAAAAAATAAACCTAATTTGGTATCATCTGATTTACTGTACCTTTAAACGCATGTCGATTACCAATTATTAGATAACAGTATGTCAAAGACTTTTCAATTCATTTGATCATGTGTGGTACAGAATTTGAGTGTTCCCCAAAACAGTTGCACAAAGATGTGGTGACTGCACAGTCAAGGCTTTTGAGAGCGAAAAAAAACTTGCACTTCAAACTTCATGCTTTCTAATAAAACCTTTATACAGTAATACGATTCGAGAAGCCAACAGCATCAATCGTCTGAGAGTAGTCTGATTATACGCTTGAGCATTTCACAAGTTTTCAAAAACGCAAAATATGCGAAATTGAGAGGTCTCCAATACACATACTGTACTGTGGACATTATACGTGCGAGGAAATTTTTGTGCGTCACATTATAAAATATCTAATTATTATTACCACACGTCCTGTTTTGATCCATATACTGTATAAGAAAACATGTGGGTTTTCAAATCTGATCTATAAAATTTTTTCTTCTCAATTTCCAAACACTCTTGAAACGCCTGTTTGATTACTAAGAATCCTCTAAATTAATCAGAGATATCCCGAGTAAGTGGATGAATAAATTACCGAACGAGTTAGTGCTTTATGTTCTCCAAAGGGTTCTCCACTACACGAGGTATCTACTGATTGGCAGATGCTTCATTTCATTTATTTCATTCATTCATTCACTATACCGTATTCGCTGAAATCATTTTAAGCTTCAAGGCGTTGATTCGATTACGCCGGACGTGCAAAGGATGGAATAGGCTCATCACAGTCGTCATTCGGGATGAAGTTTCACAAGTCTACCAAAAGAGCTGTAATTTAAGGGTAATGATAATTCATCATTTTTTCCGGAAACCTCTAAAATTTTAACGTGATATACTGAGGGATATCATGTTTTTAAATAAATAAATATGTCTATAATAATAGGTTCGTACGACAAAAAAGGAAACCTTCAAAGTTGAAAGCATTCAATACAATGAAATAAAAAAACAAATTTGTCTACATTTTGACACGACAATCTCGATTTATCACGGGAGTTCCAGAGTGGTCTTGTTGGTTCGGTACAAGGAAAACATAATTAGGCTCAAAACTTTTTTTTCTGATGAAATGAAGCAAAGGGGAACACAGGAACTCCGATGTGACTATGGAGATAGGATCAGGATAGATGTTTTGGACGATAAATCATTTAAGATTATTTGTTGGAATGTCCCATATTGGATAATACTTATGGAATTTGATAGTATTCGAGCAATTAGAGGGTCGTAGTTGCCTGATTTTATCATTTAGCATCACGTTGCACATAATTTTCTAGATTCTTAAGCTTGTAATTCCGGCAACATATAAATGTATTTTCGTTATCACGAAATATACCTCGGAGAAATCGCTTTCTTAGACTCCGCTTTCAAACTCCCCTATCAAATTTTTATTCTTGTGTAACAAACAAGCATTTATAGAGTGAATGTGCGTGCTTATTCAAAATACAGTTTCTTCAATTTATGAAAGTAAAGGTACGCAACCGCATCTACTCTCTCACAACTTTTTACATGCGAATTATCGACTTTCGCTTTCTTCCTTATCGCAATACACTTTAGACAATTTTCTTTTTTAAAGAAATTCGTTAATCCTTTGGTTCAAACTGTGGTAGGATTGATCATTATTACTTACTAGTCATAAAACCTGGAATTTTGAAGCCCATTTCTACATCGACATCGCTAATTTTTGATTTCAACATTCAGTAGGGGTTAATAGGTCAAGTTTCTCTTCCTCCTCTACGAGTTCAGAGGATCTTCCGACGAGACAACGTAACCATGCTCGATAAATTATCCAACAAATTATTGATTAACATCTTCAAGGCTATGATAAAAGAATCTAGGTAATTATCCTACATTTTTATCCGTTAAGTTCGATTCATATTTTACCGTATTTTCATGAAGGTTTAAGCTTTCGAAGGATGACCCAACTTCGGAGGACATGCAAGAAGTGGAATGAATTGATACTTGTAGTTATTCGAGATCATGTTTCGGAAAATCACAAAGTTGACTGGTTTTTGATGGTAAATCACCTTTTTCTTTTTGATGTCATGTGCCTTCATCTTTTTTTTTTTTCTTTTGATTCCGAACTCCTGGTTTTTACTTTGCAGGTCAGATTTAGCATGATGGAAGTAGCTGTCGGCGTAGAAGACATACAGTACAACGATGAAGCTAGGAAACTGTTTTGTCTCTCCTTCGACAGATATTATTCATTCCAACCCGTTGTAAGTCCGTTCATAATGTTAAACATGAAGTGTAGAGAACAAACATATTGTAGGGAAGTATATTTTCATTTCAATAGATCTCGGGTGGGTGAACAGGAAATTCAAGATCCTGTTGGAGGTTCTGTTTTAGTAAATATCTTGAGTGACGGACGTATAAAATTTGTTCACTGGAAGGTGAAAGAGGGGTTAATGTTGAAATTGTTGGATATCGCGAGAACCGATAAACTTAAAAAGAATAGATAATACCTAATATATATTTATATATTTGTTGTTGTTTTTGTTTAGTGCTGTAATAATCATTCTGTAAGATAACCATATATTAGATAACAGTTACATCGCATCGTTTACAACTCATTAAATTTTTTAAAAATCACCACATAGTTTCTCTCATCATTTAAAAAACGCGCAGAGATGATGTTAAAAGATTTTAATTAGTGTTGAAATGTATCTAAAGGAAATATCCATACAAATTCTGATTGTTCTATGCCACTGGAATTCTCATAAGCCACGAAATTTTGGACTTCAAAGATGTTCATTTTTGCCTAACCGATAGTACAAATTGTAAAAATTAATCATGTTTGAAATCGACTGTAATAATCATAATAAAGGATTACAGCCGATAAAATACACTGTAAATTTTTTTATTATGATGGTTGTTGGCAAACAATAACACATCGGTTACTGGAAGTATGTACGCGTGCAATAATTGGTGATTTTTTGGATTTCCAATCTTTAAGATCCTACATCTGAAGGTTTAAAAAGGGATAACTGTAAAGTCAAAACCAATAAAGCTACTGTCGATATTATACGTGAAAACTTTTGCCATTCTTTTTTTGGCATTCTGTTTCTTAATGTATTCTAAAAGTGCTAAAACAATTATTAATATTAATGTATTTACAAATATCTTGAATTTTTGAAGAAAGAGATAAAGTATTTTTCATGTTCTTTTTCCTAACAAAGTGATTTTTTTTTTTTTGCCTTTGACTTTGTAGATATGTTTTTTTATACTTATTTACAAAAATACAGACAATTGATTTCAAAGAAAAAAGAATTACAAGTAAAATCCTTAGGTAGTAATATTATTAAGCAATATGGTATGCTAAAGTTCCTAAGGTATACTAAAATTAATACAATTATGAAATATGAGATTAAGCAAAAGAAGCAATGGTGATTTGTTTTATAAATATCGATTTATTTATTCAATAAAATGGAAGTTAATCTTACCAATACTAGTTCAAATTAGATTATTTGGCTGTCAAATTACAGCTGATTAAATCCAAATTTATTAATAAAAGTTTATACTGAAGTTTTGTTGTTTGGTCCAATTTATGCCAC